GTTGGATAAACCACCCACTTTTTCTAGTAGAAAATGCAGAAATGGCTCTTTGAACATAGTGTTGAATTTGACAAAAAAATTTCGAAGAAACAGTTGTGGAATTTAATTAAACCCTTCAGAAACAATAGAAAGAAAAGATATTTGGTAGACGAGACATTAAAAGAAAGTGGCCATGAAATTCTTAGATTACCTCCGTACCATTGTCAATATAATTCAATTGAAATGGCATGGGGTTTTTGTAAGAACTAAAGAACAAGCATATAAATTCTCAACCTTCATTAAAAAGTAGGGTGAAGAATTTATGGCTTGAGGCGCTTTCTAAATGTACTCCAAGCATGTGGCAAAATTTTTGTAAACATTGTGAAAAACTTATTTTGGCAGATTGGGAAAAAATATGGGAAATCTTTCGTACGAATCTATACCTCCTTTCATTATTTCACTAGGTGAATCTGATTCAGAATCTGAATTTGAAGATGACGGTGATGATACAGATTTTCATGGCGAAATAATGGAAATGGAGTGAATTGTAGCTTGTCGGGGAGTGATATTTTTACGCATCGTTCGTTCTAAATTTACCAAGATAGTATGTGAAAAACTACCTGACGTACAACAAAATAGGTATAATTTTAGTTAGATCATCCACGTTGTTACTTTGCACCAAATTTTAAGCATTTTCATTTTTTTTGTAATTCTTCATGGACCCGGAGAAGGCGTATAGTAACGTTCTTATTAATAAGCGTTTGGAAGTACTTAGCAAAAGCAAATAAAGAGCACTTACGTAAGCATTAGTAATAGCTATATACATAAATCATTCAATTTAAGGCCGGAAAAATGTTTCAGAAGAGCTAAACCCATCAAAGCACTAGAGCAAAGTTGTTGTCTTTTACCAACCCTTTTAGTAATCTTAGAAAAGTGAAAAAAGAAGTTGGAAAATGTGGAAATAGGCTGTTCACAAAGGTCGAAATTTCCATTTCGAAGAAGAGTGGGCGAGCAGAACGAACTGATGATTGAGAATTAAAGATGAGATTATTGCCTTAATTCTTTTCCTTAGGAAGGGTTGGTGTTCTGCCTAGGTTTGGCTAGCAAAAATCCCTTGTTGTTAGCAATAAATGAGATGAGACTCCTAGGTGGGAGGGGTTACATCCATTAATAAACTTTTCTCTGATTAATATCTTTAATTAGGCCAGTCAAATTCGAGAATTTATTATGTACAATAATAATGCACTAAACTGGTATACTTTAATTAACCCTAAAGAAAATGAAATTGTTGAGAAATAATAATGAGTTCCTCAATTTCGAAACTTATGCCCTCGGGCAAAAACCAACGCGCATGATCACAAGTCCGCTAGTTTCAAATGGTAATCTACCCTATCTATGAATGAATTAAACGAATTGAGAGTTCTCAAATGATTGAGGTTAGGGTATTATTTACCTTGTGGAATTTTCCAAACTCTCGGGAAAATATTCCGTATTCGCATGCGAAGACCAGGAATTTACACTATCCACCTTTGGTTGGATCTACCATAAGCAACCGGCATGTTGGTCAACACCTTCTTATAACATTATACAGTTTTTAGGTTCCTTCGAAAGATTGTCTGAACTCAATTATTATTTTACAATTACGACGTAATTAACAAGATAATTATTGACTGAATTAGAACGAAGAAGCTAATACATGAAATGTAACTAAGTAATATTTAAAAAGTTTGAACTATTAAGATGAATAAATTATTAGATAACTATACTTTCGATGACACTTTCGATTTACTATTAAATTACTTTAAATCAATGGAAGTTAACCGTAGTGGGCCACTTCACATACGCGAAAAAATGTCTAAATAGGACTTATAATAATGACTTAGCTGCTACGCAAGCTGAAACTTCAAGCTGGATTTGCCTCAAGACCTGGGGGACCTTCTAGACGTTGTGGTGGGATCGACGAGCAGATGGAGAAGTTGGTATCAATCCGGCCAATTTCCTTCCAACACGAGTTCCCGGAAAAATCCACGAAATGTATGGGAAAAGATATATATCCCAGTGGGGGAATAAAAAAAGAGCCTGTAAGTGTAAATACTTCTAGTATGAAGGCAATAGGAGGCAAGAATGGACGCCACGAACAGGGAAGACATCTCGACCACATGGGGGAACCCAACACCTTTTGGTAAGAGGAATTTCACGGAAATACATACACCATTTACTCCACCACATGAAGAGACTCATTGACAACAGATAATTACCTTTGGATGATCCAAGGCTCTTTTAATAATTACGAATTTCCAATTTTCAATAGCCGACCAAGGTCGAGTTGCTCCCAGCGTTATAATCCGATAGAATCGAAGGGGAGGGCATCAAACGTTACTTGAATGTACAGGACATCCAATAATATATCTAAATTCTGCACCTACACCCGGAAATCACTTGGAGAAGAATTTGGAAGATTCGACGTGGTTGATCACTCTTCAACAGAAGGATGGAAAGTAGTCTCGCCCCGTTTCCGCTACTGATTTTATTGAAAACCAAGGAAGAAAAAACCGGAAACGACATTTTGACGCAGATGGAGTTGGCCAATAGAAGAGCACGGGGATAGTAGAAGGAGGGATTCGATTTCATTCATAAATCGAGTTGTTTACATTCTAGAAAAATCCTAACCTATTTTGTGAATCGGACCGATGGAAAACAATAATTATAATCAAAGTCCTTAGTTGTTGTATATAAAAGTGATTTTCATAAAATATAGGGTATGTGGATGATATAATTATTGATCAAGTTCCTGTTTAGGTGGCCTTTTCAGGTTCTTTGTCTTAGTGGTATTTTTGACTGTTACAAGATGCTAAATGTGGCATGCGACAATTGTCGTATGTAGAACCCCCCATTCATATAAAAACAATGTTTAAGTAAAACTTTAGTGTTTGTTCCTTACATATGAAATAAACACTTACAAAATGCCGAATAACTGTTTTAACTAGCGTAAAGTTTTATGCTTTCTAAGAAATGGATACCGTTAACTTGGTCATTGCTACTGAAAACTGAAAGTATCGGCAACAATGTTTATATTTCTGGCATATTTTTAACCTTTAATTTAATAAAAGCTAACCTAACGAAAAAAGTTCAAGGAATTTTTATTCTTCTGCACCGAATACCAACAAACTCGCCTGATTTTCATAGCCAACCCTACTATATGTATAAAGATCGTGAACGGATAATATATCCTGCAAACATTTTTTATATTAAAAAAAATTACAAACAAATTCATTGTTATAGCGCTGTCTAAGACTACCTGTCTGCCGATTTTCGTTTGTGTTGTGTTATAAAAAGATAGATTTTCTTCGAATCACATATGGTTAACAATTTCCGCAGAACAAATTTCCCCAACATGTCAATAGTTTCGGTTATAAAGATCGTATGGTTTTTGTGTAATTCCTGGATTTGGCACAGACATGTTAATCGTTTTGTTCGGCGAAAGCTCTGTAACCTACTTTTGTGATATTGTGAACGTGATGATCATTCTGTTCTTCTTTACGATGTTGTCCAGAAATGAACAAAATCTTTTAATGTGTTTTTTGCATTTATGTATTACGTATACCTACGTGTTATTTGGAGATGAAAGGTTTACAAATTTTATGGCAAAATTAAAACTCTAACTTGTCAGTTTAGTCACGGACTCACTTCTCTTTCGTCTGCAATTTTTTTTTTTTTTTCATTGATGGCACAAAATGGTATTAGCTATTAACCAAAAAACAAACACCAGTTTCTTAAAATTTTAACACAATTCGTTTTTCACTGAAAAAATTTCAAATTGACTTGAACTTATAATTGATTATTCTAGTTTTTCTAGCAAATGCGTCATACATCTAATCAGTTATGCAGGGAATTTGACATTTATTTTTTTGCAGGTTCGCAGACGGTCACACTTCTTTTAGGAGGGCAATGTTCCATTCCAATGTTTTTTTTTTTAATTTATTTTGTCACTATAAATTCACCAAAATGTTGCCCTGCTGTAGCTCGTGGTAGGTGTGGCTAAGATAATTTATTGCGATTTTATTGACGAATATACCCAATTTTAAATTCCAGCAATTATGTGTTACGTGACTCAAAATTGACTGTCTGGTTTTTGTAGATTTCCTGTATTTAGTACAGAGTCATTTTGGTCTGTTCTGATCGGAACACTGTCGTTGAATCTCTAACTTTTCAGCATTTTCGAGGTATACATAGAGTGGAAACTTCATTCTTTACTGTAGTCACTTCAGAAACGCACAAACTTACCACGACGTGCATAATGTTTGCATGAATTATCATCCTATTATATTAGTTGTCTGAAAAAACTATTTTTGCATTTGATTATTGTTTCAACGTAACATTTCAAGGCTTCAGATACTAAATTTGTGGCACTCCATGTTTAAATTACATTTTTTTGTTCACTTGTGCTATGCAGGGTGTTTTTGAAAGATCTGCAAAAAAATCTGGTAAATCGTCACAAAACAATTACCCCGGTCGACACTTTTTTGGGTCAGTTAACAAATATTAATTAAGTGCAAGGTCTACGTAAGTCAATAAGAAGTATGTTTGCCTATTGTGCAATGTGTGTTTTAAAGGACGAGGAATAATTCTAACAATTTCTCCATCTTTTGATTTTTCGACTTCTCGATGTCTCAGTTTTTGAATTTTTTTATGTTTCGATTTTTCCATTTGTCGGTTTTTCAATTTGTTGATTCTTCAATTTTAGGATATTTTAATTTTTAAATGTTTTAAATTTTATATTTTTCGATTTTTCGATTTTTCAGTTCTTCAATATTTTTTAATTTTTCAAATTTTTACGACTTTTTGGTATTGCTTTTTTGGCTTTTCGGTTTCTCAATTTTTCAATTATAACACAATGTTGTTTATAAAATTAACAGTCAAGTGGTAAGAACAACCGTATAATTTTTAAGAAAATTTGCATAAGTTAATAATAATAGTTAATAAAATAAATTAGTATAACAATTCAAAATAAACACCACAGGACACACACAAGTGCTAAAGCAATACAATAATATAAGAATGTAATGCATTTTTGTTTTCGCTTGGCTTGAGGTAAAGTATGCATCGGATATTTCAAGAAATGAATCCTTGCGTACATTGAACACATTTCAAAAAAACTCTTCCACTACAGGTTCTCCATGTTGAACGGAAACAACTCGCGGTCTTTTTCCGTCAAGGCTTTCCACAACATTTCGCTATTACTGGTTTCATATTTCCAAAAGTTCACGTTAAAGTATCCTACTTCGCCACACACTTTGTGTAATTTTTGGTACATTTTGACGAATCTAAAAATGTTTTAATGTGTTTAAAGTTTGTGCACAAAAACACTCACCTTCGTTTTTTTCCAAGACACAGGCAAATCAGATCCACAATATACGCTGGTACGAGATGAAGCCAGAATTGGAGGAATTTAAGATAGTACTTGTTTGTGGTAGAAATCACGAAGCAGACATTAATGACGTGCGCGCTGGGGTAGAGTTTTGCTGTTACTTTTCCATACTCGTACAGTTTAGCTATGGAATGTTACAAATTTTGTGAAGGTGACTAAATAAATGGCACTTACTTTTCGTTAAGAGATTTTTCTCAGAACCTGTATAGTTGTAGATCGGTGGAAGGGAACTTTTCTCTGTTGCGTAGCACGCAGCCGCCAAAATAATATTTGCTGTGTAATCAGATGGTATCACGTATATAGGTTTAGTATCGGCTAGTTGGCAATGTATCAAACCTAGATACGCGCCTATGAAAAAGGCAGTGATACCTTGAATTGCGTCCTGCCAACCTGGTGCAGGTTCTTGGAGTGCCCCTACCACTGAAAACAATGCTCCAATAACTTCTTTCTAGTTTTATTTGTCTTATTTTTTAACTTACCAATCCCCGGTCTGACGATACAAATTGGCATATCTTGAGCTTCGGTTTTGATAACATTTTCGGCCACAGCTTTAGTGAATGTGTAGGTGTTGGGCCAAGAACCTAAGTAGAACTCTGCAAAAATTGAGTAAAATTTTGAAATAAAAAGATCAATTAATAAAGAAAGCTTCCGATTTTTCGTGAAACTTTTACTTACTCTGGAGTGTTGTTTGTTATTGTTTCGTCATCCGTTGACTCCAACATTTTCAAGAGCTTTGTGGCTGTCATTCCAGGCTCATAGAATTGTTCTTTTATTAAATCTTTTTGGTTACAGTTTGAGTAAGCTGTGGAAACGTGCACCATGGCCTGATGTAACGAAAAAAGAAATTAATTGAAATTAGTTGGTGTAAATATTATAAAATCATGGAAAAATTTCTGATTTCATCTTTAATACTAGAAAGTTGTATAAAAGTTTCCACGCATACCTTTAAATCACGAACTTGTTTTGCCAAATGAAGGAGATCTTGAACAGCGCGAACGTTAACATATGCAGCCAGTCGTAAATGCTCGCTAAATTTTACAATAGCTGCAATGTGTATAATACAAGGCGTTTCATTTATTAGAGTCTCTCTATCATCCTGGGATATTCCCAATCCAGGTAAACTGCAGTCTCCTTCGATAACAAAAATCTTCCCTTTGAATTCCGATTTATCCCGTCTCAAGTCCTACAAACATTTTTTCTATTTAAAGAAAATTACGAACTATTTCAGTCTTACAGCTCTCTCTAGGAGTATTTCAAGTCTTTCCTCTGGCGATTTTTCTTTGTGTTGTCTTATAAGAAGGTAGATTTTTTTCGGTTCACAACTGGTTAATTATTTCCGAAGAACAAGTTTTCCTAACAAGCCGGTGCTTCCGGTGATAAAGACTGTCTGGTTTTTGTAAAATTCCTGTATTTGACTCAGAGCCATGTTTATGGTTTTAAAGTAGGACGCCCTCGCTGGTCCTGTGGCTGTTCAGTGTTTTTGGGGTGCAAAGTGAAAGCTGATCATCTTCTGGGGAGATCTTTTATTTTGTTAGTTTTAGTTCCGTGATGTGATGATAATTCTGTTGTTCGTTTTATTGTAGTAGTTCAGAAAAGAACGAATTTAGTACATAAATATCATCTCATTTTAATATTTGTTGTTATCTACAAAGAAGCGTTATTTATTTTCTTAAAGTAAGTATATTTTCATGTGTTTTTTTTGCCTTGTATCACGTGTGCAGGCTTCAGGGAATGAAGCAAGTTGTGTTTAAATTCCGTTTTTAATTCACTCCGGTTATGTATCGCTCTTATGTCTTATGTCTTTTATAGCAAGACATATTTACCGTAATTAAAAGCGGTATTAAAAAAAACCTAGACAGTTTATCTGACATACTTTCTTAATTACTTCTATGAGACTAAACTGTAAAAAAAGAAAGCTTAGAATGCGAGCGCAGCGAGCATGTGCAGCTTTTATAAAAAATAATTCATTGCTGTTTCTGAGAACATAATTTTTAACAAAGAATTTAATTTATTTTATACAAAAAAGAGAATCTTAAAAACAATTGTCATTGTGATTGATTATTACAGTTGACTCCTTACAGACTCTTTATTTAATTCTACTTCTGGAACTATATTTAAAAAAAAAATAGAATGGGAGCGCAGTTCACGTTTAATTAAAAAAAAACGTCCAAATTTGTAACACTTTCAGGAAAGTGGGGTGAGTCATTCTTGATTTGTTCAATAAAATAGTTTTTTGTAAAATTAGTTTATACTTTTTTATTGAAAACAATGGACGCATTGATAAACTACAACTACGGAGTGTCGTGTTTTGGTTAGGATGTATTCCGCAAAATTTTGAGATGTCACTAATAAAAAAACAAACACCACTTACCACCTTCAGGAAAATTTTGACACAATCCTTTCGTCCTCTGAAAAATTCAAATTCAAATGCACATGGACGTTTCGGTTTACAATAAGGAAATTTGAAATCAAACTGATGTAGAAATGAACTTTTAATAAATTTAATAAATTATAAATTTTATTGACTAACAGAACAAAGTTCCAAAATAGACAATAGTTTTAAAAAACAAAATATGAAATAAGATGTCCTTATAACTACAAACGTCTTAAATAATTGTTAAACATATGTTGCGAGCAACTGAAGATATCTATATCTACTAAGTTATTAACCGCCAATCCTATTCTATTTACTACAGAAGTGTTGTAACCGAGATTTGTTCTTTTAATCGAACATAAGATTGTGTCCTGGTTCCTAGTATGTACCAAAGGTAGTCTAAAATTAAATAAGGATAAGAATTCGGCACTATCAATTTGATTATTGAACAGTTTATATGCAAACTTAAGCTCAAATTTTAACTTACGTTGTGTAAGAGTCTCTAGTTCTGTTATAGCAAGTCTTTGATTATAATTATAATTTGATTTATTGAGACCCATTTTAAACATTAAATAATTACAGAACTTTCTTTGTACCCTTTCGAGGCGAGTTTCGTGAATTGCATATGAACTTTTCTAACAGACACATCATGCATCTAACCAATTCTGCACCGAATGTAAAAATTTTGATGCAAGTTGAGTTGTTGTGCCATTCACAGAAGGTCACACTAGGTTTGGGGGGCGATGGTCTCCTTTGACGTACCCGTTGTGTTTGTTGGCTATTTTTGTCATTAGAAATTCGCAAAAATTTCCGCGTCTCCACTTTTTGGTAGGTGTGGCACTGTGGCAGAAATAATTACTTATTATGCAGCAAATAAGCGTATTACGATTAATCTACTTAATATGATAAAACGTCTTTTGTAATAACTCAATTAACTGATGCAGGTGGTGTTACACAAGAACGCAATTTAATGCACTACCACGTCGGTGCGTAGGTATACTAAAAACGCATTGAAGGACTCTAAAGCATTGACGGAGCGTTTTTGCAGTCGCATTTTTTTTTTTTTTTTAACGCGAAATGTAGATGTAATGAGTGTCAAATAGCGATGGCACAGTACAAAGTAGAGTACAATGACGGATTTAGAAAATATTACTCAGATCAAATATACACCGAGAGTTCTGCTGGTGTAATTATGATTACTAACGTATACTTACCCAAACTTTGCTGCGAATTATTTCAGTTTTCCGGTGATGTCTATATACTTTATATTATTAACTCCAACGTGAAAATATTAGAAGATTCGTGTTATGAAACTGTATTCCAAGGTATAAATATGTTAAAAATAAGTCGGAATGACATAAAATTAATCAAAAAAGCCACTTTAAAAAATCTAAGCGTGGCAGCTATAGATTTGAGTTCAAATATGATACAAATAGTGGAAATCGGTGCTTTCAGTGACCTACTCCTCTTGAGCGACCTCAATTTATTCAAAAATCAGATAGAAGTATTAAATCCACAAACCACAAGCAATGTAATGTAATGTTTATTCATGTTTAAAATACAAAGTATCATACAGTCGTCGTAGTTTAATTCTATATTTAACAAAAAAGTTACTTTAAATCAGTAGGTAATTATTAATTATTTAGTAAGTTTCCCCCTTCCACCTAAGAAGTAAAATTATGGTTAAGAAATTCATCTTGGGAGTAAAAGGCTCCTTCTATTAATGTAGTTCTCACTACCTTTTTAAAATTAACTAAAGGCAAATTCTTTATATTTTCTGGCAATTTATTAAAAAACTTTACGCCATAGTAACTGGTGGCTTCTCTAGCTCTCTTCAGCCTGTGATAATTGATGATGTATGCGTTCTTGTTACGCGTGTGATAATTGGATTCATTTTCCTTAATGAACAGAACCGCAGCAAAAATATACATACATGGAACCGTCATTATTTGCAGTTTCTTATACTGCTCCCGGCAGTCGCCTCTATACTTTAATCCAGCGAGTACTCTTACACTTTCCTTTGAACTGAGAACACTTTATTAATGTGTACTGAATGATAGAAAAATAATTAATAGAACTATGAATGAGGCCATAGTAAGCTGTCTTTAGCACATATAACGAGACAGAGTATCTCAGTTGTCGTAATACAAATACTTGATTTGACAATTTATTACACAGTGCATTAACGTGTGCTTCCCATGTTAACCCTGCGTCCATTATTATCCCAAGAAATTTAATTGGTTTTTTATGACAATCACTCCGTTTTAGAGAAAACATGAGTCTCTGTTCCTTGTCGTCACTCATACATACTTTATTGGCCAAAAACCATGTCTTAATGGAAGCATAGCAATGATCTCTTTGCCTATTTAAAATTTCAATATTTTGACCTGTACTAAATGTGTTGGTGTCATCTGCAAATAATATAAAATTTGTATCACAACATGACGGAAGATCATTAATATAAATTAAAAATAAGACTGGTCCAAACACTGAACCTTGTGGGACACCGTGTAAAATTGTTTTTATCTCCGAGCACTGTTCTCTACCTACTGAAACATACTGTTTCCTCTTATTTAAATATGCATGACTTTATTAATGACTATGGTTGAAGTTATAAAATCTCAATGCGTTTAGAAGAGTATCATGCGAGACACAGTCAAATGCTTTAGTTAAATCATAGAAATGTGAATCTAAAAATTAATTCCTGTCGAGTGCACCTGTAATTTCAATACATAATCTGTTTTTTCCAAAGTAATCACACATTTGCGTTTTTAGATTTTTTTCAAAAACTTTACTTATTATTGGCAATATTGACACCGGCCGATAATTTGAAGGGTCCAATTTGTCGTTTTTCTTAAATATAGGCACCACTTTGGCCAATTTTAAAAAGTCGGGAAAGATCGATTCTTTAATACACTGATTAAATAGATTCGTTAATGGAATTACTAAAATATAACCTATAGATTTAACAATTTTTATATTAATCCCATACGCATCCTTGCATGAAGTATTTTTGAGGGAAAATATTATGTCTCTCACTGTATTAATTGAAGCTTCTTTAAAAACAAATTTATCATTAGGAGTATGTTTAGTTTTATGTAAGAGTTCACTTGAACTTACATCACAGGGTGGCAGTTTCTCCATTATTGATGTAGCGACATTTTCAAAGTATTCTGCAAAAACATTGGGATTTATTGGAGTGCTCTCAACTTT